GTTCGAGTCAAAAGCGGAAGCCGAGCAAGAAAACGACATCAAGCCCGAACCATGAATCCGGTGGCTCGGAAAACGTGGAGCAAGGACCCGGGAAAGACCAGAAGAGTGGGAGGAGACGAAACTCGTCCGGGGTTGATCAAGAACCGAGAGATGATGGGAAGAGCTCGATCCCGAGGTTTATGAGGCCAACGGAGTCGGCAAGAGCAAAGGTACAAGAACAAAACTCGCCAAGATCGAGCCCCGATGTCCACGAGAGAGACGATTCCATCAAGAAGAGGCATTCGTTGCCGGGTTCGAACGGAAAACAAAACTCGTCTTCTCCTAGAATCCAACGATCATCTACACAAACACAGCAAGGAACGAAGGGTAATAAGAGAAAGCACATTATATAAACATCAACATTTTATTTCTTTCGTTACTCGTCTAGTCTTTGATGTTCGAGATTGACGATATTTGTTTTACAGAGAGGAAATGGCAGAGGTGAACCTCCGACGGATCCGTAATCGGAATCCGACACCGAAGTCTTTGGTTTCGGTAACTGTTTCCGGGAGAATTTGATCAAATGGTTTGTGTTTTCAGACATCCTTAAAAACTCTTTTATGAACTTGAAGTGTGCAAGATGTGAGGGGGGAGCCTTTGTATAGGATCGTGCTTTTTGTTTTTTTTTTTTTGTTTTTTCAGACATTTATTTGATTAAGATTTGTCGAGTTGGTTTGGTTTGGGCTTTTGAAGTTGGGTGGTGATGTTTTTATGGACATTTCCTAAAGCTGACAGTGAAAGCTTATTGTAGACAGAAAAAGATGTTTGAGAATTGTGTGTCCTGTAATAATCTTACAAGTTCTTTTTATTTTTTACTTTGGATCCGCAATTTGTTAGTTAAAAATTCAGATGAAATAAATATTAATGATTTCAAGAGTTTGAACTTTAAATCTTTATAGTATTATGTTGTAAAAAACTAAATAACTTGTAAAGATATTTATTAATATTTTTTTGTAATTATATTCTTAAAGAAATTTGCAATTTTTAAATTCTTTAATTATGGTATTATTTTTTTTTTTGTAATTTTTAATGAAATTTAGAATTTTATAAAATGAATAGATAATTTATTTAAATTCTTTTAATTATGATTTTATGTAAGGATGTCAATTGGGTTGGCCCAACCCATTTGGGTCCAATCCATATGGATCTGAAGGATAAACGGGTTGGGTTGGTTCGACCCGTTAATAATAGTGGATGGGTTAGGTCGACCCATTAAACCCGTATAAACCATATAAATCCATTTATATATTCACAAATTACTTATACATATATAACTATTTAATATGTATATTCATATAACCTAGAAATTATCATTTTAATATTCAATTCGGTTTATCGATTCAATAAAAATATATATAAAATTGGATATTATATTATATTCGATAGTTTATAAAAAAATTATACATTTCTTTAAAAAAAATAAGATTTTTTTATTTTTTTTAAATTCGATTCGATGTTTTAAAAATATTGTCGTTTAAATTTTTTGAACGGTTCGTTTTAAAAACGACACCGATTTTTTCAATACGATTCGATTAAGAAATGGTTCCAGTTTTTCGGTATGATGCGTATTTTCGGTACGATTCGATTCGGAACCGTAATTTGGAAAAAGAAGGGATATTGGACAGCCTTAAAAGCTTTTTCGTTACCGATTTTTTTATACGATTTGAATTTTTCGGCACGATTCGATTCGAAAACGACACCGAGTTTTTTGGTACGATTCGATTCGGAACGGTACCGAGTTTTTTATACGATTCGAATTTTTTTACACGATTCGATTCGAAAACGACACCGTGTTTTTCGCTACGATTCGATTCGGAACGGTACCAAAATTTTTATACGATTCGAATTTTTCGACATGATTCGATTCGGAAACGACATTCAGTTTTTCGGTACGATTCGATTCGGAATGGTACCGAGTTTTTTATACGATTCGAATTTTCCGGCATGATTCGGAAATGACACTGAGTTTTTTTATATGATTCGATTCGGAAACAAAACCAATTTTTTCGGTTTGATTCGGAACGGTATCGAGATTTTATACGATTCAAATTTTTCGGCACGATTTGATGCGAAAACGACACCGAATTTTTCGGTATGATTTAATTCGGAGTAGTATCGAGTTTTTCGACACGATTCGAATTTTTCGATACGATTTGAAAACAAAACCTTATTTTTTATTACGATTTGATTCGAAAACGATATCAAATATTTCGATTTAATTCTTATACATATATATAAGTATATATATATAAAAATATCTAAATATATAATGAATTTAATAGGTTAACCATTTAACCCATGGGTTTAATGGATCAAAACCCATTTAACTCATTTTAAAAAATTAACCAAATAGACTAACCCATTTGGGTTTATAAATGGGTCGGGTTGAGTCGACCCGTATAACCCGACCCATTTTGACATCTCTATATATTTCACCATATGGAACGGGTTTTCCGACACATTTTCATCGGTAGGTTTCATAATTAAGAAAAAAAATTATTAGAACGATTTACATAATAAAATTATATGTAATAAATTACTCTTTATATTTCAAAATATTTATAGTTTTAGGTTATTTTTCAAGTTTCAAAATATTTGTCATTCTATATTTTTAAGATATTTTTTTACAATAATTTTCAATTTTATCCCTATTAAATTCCAATAAATTATTAATAATAACATTGTTTTTATTATTAGATAAGGTATATGTGATTTTTTCTATTTTTTCTTAAAAATTTTTGAAATAATCTAAAACAATAATTATTTTGAAACGGAAGGATTAACTGATAAAATTATTAATTAAGGGATTGAATGAATGTGGTTTTTAAAGTTTTTAAAATTCAAAAACTAAAAAAAAAATTGATAATCTAATTTTTTGTAATTTTTGTTTTTTAAAAAATTTGGAAAACATTTTAGTGAAATAATTAACTAAAAATTAAAAACTCTATTTTTTTTAAGATTTACAAAACTACAAAAATCAAAAGTGAAAATCTCAAAATAAAAACTTTACCCATTAATAGCCTAAAATTTCTGGATATGAGTTCCAAGTATTAACTTATGAATACAATACAAAGTTTATGAAGATCGGTTCCCATCTACTTGTGTGCAGCTGACAATGCCCATATGATGTTTTCTTCTAGATGTTTCCAGAGGGAAACTTAGAATAGTTCTGTGCCTATATAAAAATTCATATGCAGATACAGTACAGTACCTTATGAACATTAAATTCAAAAAGTTGCTGAAACTTTAAATGTATGTTTATTTAATATTTTTTATATAATGTTTTGGAGAGGTGGTAATGAATCTTTTAATATCTGATTTGACTTCTAACAATTTATAAAGAATTATATCTATTTAATTGTTTGAGGATTATCTATTTGGTTTCGCTAAAAAAAGAAATTCATCAAATTTAATCCACGGTAAATTCTAAATTCAATCTTTGTCTAAAAAAAAATAATGTAAGAAATGTCTCCCTATAGCAAGTGGGATAAAGAAGGAAAACAAAAGCAATGGAAAAAAAAGTTAATATTTTTTCAAAAAGGAAAAACACACAAAAGGAAGAAAAGTAAAAAAACAAAAAAGCCCTACGCCTCCAAATTCAATTCACACTGCATATTGCTCCTTCGTCTCGTCTCCTGGCCCGTCCTCTTCTCCCTCTCTGCTTCTTCGTCGGTCGTCTTCTTCCTCGTTACTTTTCCCAGATGATTCGATAATTCCTCAGTTACGCAGTTGTTTCGAATCTAATCCTCTCTGGCTGTCCTCGTGGCTCGTGATACATAACTCACGTGGTCGTCTATATACGTATATACGAACTGTCAGACCCTCGAAAAAAAAAATTTTGCGACCTTATTACGACTAATATATAACTAATATACAACCTATTACGACTAACAAACTACTCTTATTTTAGTTGTATATTAGTTATATATTAGTCGTAATAAGGTCGCAAAATTTTTTTTTTTTCTGGGTGGTGTACCCTGAAATTGCTGCGACCCAAGTGGGTTATTAGGGTTAAAACCCCTGCTCAGACACTTGGATATGTTTTTTTCTCTTAACAAAATCGGGTTCTCCAAGTTCGGGTAAGAACTCGAGGTCATTCTTGGAATACTGTAAATATTAGGGGTTATTTTGCAAAAACAAAAACATTCGTATATATGTTATTTATATAAACAGGAAGAAAAAAAAAAAAATCTGAGAAACGACATAATGGTGACTTTCTCTTCTGCCAGAGGATCTAGGGCTTCTTCGATGCGGTTGCGATAATCTCTTCTGATTCGTCGATGATTTCGATCTATGGATTTGTAAACCGATCGTCTTCTCTGTTGATTTCTTCCTTGTTCGATTACCCGGAGGTTTCGAGAAACTAGGGTTTCTCCAGGACTTGGTTGCGGGATTTGGTTCAATCTGCGGTGTTTTTGTCTTTTGAAAAAGTTCGTGGGTTTAATGAAATTGGACCTCTCGAATCAATTTTCTGGGAAAAAAATTTATCTTTTGAGCGAATTGATCTGTGAAAACTATGAGGGCACTGCACAAATCCAAAAGGGTATCGTGGCCTCCAGATTTTAAGCTTTGTCAGGTAATGGTATTGCGGTTTTCGGATCGAAAATTCCGTTGGAATGTGCTTGTTTATGTTGTTTAGTTGCTTCGCTGATTCGATTTATGGCAGCTGAAAATGATGCCGGAAATGGAGAAAATTGTTCTATCAGTGATTTTAGTTAGTGTTTGTTTTGATTTATTGGATTGGATTGGATTGAGTTACTTTTCAATCTTTTGTAAACGTTAAAAGGCGGTTTTTTTGGCAATGGCAATGCCTTGTGTTCCCCCGGAAGGATGGTTTTCTGGACTTCAATGGCTTTTTGTTTCAATGGTTATTGTATTGGAAGCAATTCTCAAATTGGTCATTGAGAGGGAAAAAGCAGTTTTCCAGTGAACTGAGTAGAAACATAAAACTGAAATCATTTAGGTTCAATCAGATGACGAATTCTGTGTGGAGGAAATCTCTGTTCATGCAAACCTTTTCTCTTGTCTCTTGCATCATAGTCTAAATTGTTTGCCCATATTTGGTTCTTTGCATAAGGAGTTGATCTTGAGATACTGCCCCGAATCATGGGAGGGTCGGTCCTAAACTTCGTACAGACGAGATCCATGTAGTCAGTGCTGTGGCATGGAAGAGGATGAACCGGGAAGATGTATGAGGTCCAAAAGTTTGTTGGCTGTCTTCCAATAAAGTATGTGGCGTGAACTGTTATTCGATATGGCACATCGAATGCTGTTCTCTGCTGTCAGTGTGAAGGATCAAAATAAAGCTGCTTTGTTATCAGTCAAAGTGTTTCTTTTTGAGGATGGAGGAAGAACTTCTGTATATCTGAGTGATGTGGCAGTGTTCTCACATTTTGTAAAAGTTCCATTAGCACAAGTGTTCTATCAAATTTTCATCACTTATTTTATGTCTGGATTGTAGTTCATCTTTCCGTAGGTTAACAAATCAATGGTTACCTCTTTTACAAATTAGAAAAGACTCATGTCCATACTTTCTGGGGGGACAAGTGATTGTTGTATTCTCTATGTTGCATGTTTTGAGATTCCATATATGTATATCCAACTTGCTTGTGGTCATATTTAATAATTCATGTCTTGTCTACTTGAGATTCTGAAATAGCAAACCTTTGATTGGTGATATGTTTCTTATAAGCAGGTACGTCTGTTCCTATCAGAGGATTCACCTTCACAAGTTGGATCAGGTGCCCAAGACCATCTTCAAGCAAAATCTCCATTGCCTTCACATCCAAGTGATGAAAATCTCCCACCCGGCTTTGGCGGATCTCATTCTGCAGACCAGTCACAAATTAATCTTTCAGACATCCCCATGGTACAGTGGAAATGCTCTGTCCGGGTGAGTTGGAGGTTGTTGATTGCTTTATCTGAGCCTTAGTCTTTGACTAAGATCATCAAATCCGTGAAACGACCGACTGGTCACAATGCCCTGAAACTTCCAGCATATAAATACATGTAGTTTACATATTTTTTGCTGTCAAACCAAATTCTAGTGGCATTTTAAGATAGATGTACTATCAAGATGCGGTTGTGGTAACATTTTCCTGGTATTATTTTGTATATTTGGTTCATGACATTCATATTTGGACCACTATCATACATGAATCTGCTGTCAAAGATGTAACACCGAATTTTCGCAGATTTTGCTAGATGCGGACTGGAGAGTGGTTGTGGGGGACGAGAGTGAAGAAGTGGAGGCCCAAAACCAGAGGGAAATTAGGGTTCTTGAAGCATTCTATCCATGTGCATCTGCTATTCCTCCAAAGTCTGAATCTATCCCTATGTTTTCTCCTAATGCTTATATATTTATATTTCCGTTTGTCGTTGATTGACTTTGATCTTTTCCCGAAACTGCTCTGCAGCCCTTCAATTTCAGATGATGTTGAGAACTCACATTACGATGATCAGCTTACTACTATTGTGCCCATCTTACCCGTAGAAGACGATGACGTAACAGTGGATGCACCATCTGATTTCTCAGACCAATTCAGTGTGGCTGTGGGAACACAGCAACCATTGGAAACCAACGAGAATGCTTCACCTGCTCCAACGCTTCCTACCGGGTCGGAAATAATGGCTGCATTATCTGAAATTTCAAGAATCAAAGAACAAGGCCACATGATTGACCAAGATCTGCTTCTTAAAATCTTAAGCAATCCCAAGTTGGTTGAGAATCTCGTTGCAAGTTGTGGCTCGGGTTCAGTCTCTTCATCGAATGAAGCCAATGGAGTAGAACCCACGATACCCGCTAACTCAAATGAACGTGTTTACCTTCATCCAAACGGAATCGATGTTGCCTCAGCTGGGTACCCACCAAATCCACCGAACCATCCCAATTATGGAGCTACACAAGCGAGAGATCCGAGTTATTACAAGAACTTGATCCACCAACATGGAGGGGAGAGACAAGAGCCACTGCCAGTTCAACATTCTGCTTACGGTTACAACACCCACACCGGAGGGGGGAACCATGAGATGGTAAACAACAGTAACCCGAGGCCGAAACACAAGATAATGAAGCCTTGCATTTACTTCAACAGTTCACGAGGTTGTCGCCATGGAGCCAATTGTGCTTACCAACATGACACGGCTGCTTACCAGCCGAGAACTCAGAATAACGGTAATGGCAACCCATATGAGTCAATCAACGCTAAAAGAATGAGATTCGACAGAAGCTGAGGCGGTTAAGCTTAAGCCAGAGAGCTGCTGAAGCAGCAGAGCAATTTTCTCAAGTCTTTTTTTGCTTGTTCTCACTGCAATATCTTTGTTTTCTATACCCTTTTGGATTCTCTACTTCGTTATTCAAAGATCTATCAATGTAGAATTCATCATCCACAGCTTGTCTGGTTCACCGTTTCAGTTGTTGTCCGTAGAGTTGATTTTTTGGAGAAAAAGTAAGTTTGATTGTCAGAACAAAGCATCGAGAGCTTCATCTGATTTCAGGTAAGTATCCATCACTCTATTACATAATGTGGAATAGATTCAGTTCTGTCTAAACAACACAGCAAAGGGGTTTTCATGGAAATGGATTACAACAAAAGGTTCCTCTGCATCAATCAGAGAAACGTATGCTTTCTTCATACAAATCTACTGGAGATTTGAATCTCATTCCCCTAAAGATTTCACGGGAGGGAAGCCTTGATGTCGTGCACCCCTGCACTGTTCAAAAGCTTCATCCCTTCTTCACTCATCTGCTGAACTTCCGTCGGCGACAGTATCCTTATGCACCGTACACATCCCACAAACTCTCTGCATATACATATACATATATACATGTTTATATATCAGTTACTGTGCTTAACACTGAACCTCAGTAGGTGACAGTATCCTTATGCACCTTACACATCCCACAAACTCCCTGCATGTGTGTGTGTTTTGTATCAGTTTTCTGTACAATATAATTAAAGTTCTTGGATTTGGTAGATACATAGTGGGATGATGGAAGAGAAAGGCTTACTCCCATGGATCATCCCCGACGAGGAGAACGTCGCTTTCGTAATCAACATAGACAAGCTTCCATCCCGGGCCTTTCGGATCAGTGAGCAGTCCCTCCAGTCCGAACATGCACTCAATGGCAGCTTTCAGCTCTTTGTAGTTTCTAAAGCTGGTTACATCAATAGATCTTCCAACTGACCCGGCTTTCTGAACCTGCCCACCAAAACATGCTGTATCAGTATCGAAAGATTCAAGCTTTAACACCGGAAAAATGCAGTTCTGGCACTGAAAAGCAAGAAATGTCTTTACCTTGGTGTAGGTTCGCACACGGGGGGCTGCCACTTTCTGCCAGGAGGTCTTACTGTTCTGAAGCAGACTGCTATCATCGAAATCAACATTGCTCGAAGAAGTACCCGTTCCTCCAGAGTTATCTGGAAAATCTTGGCGGGAGAAGGCCTGTGATTCTGTGATGCTTGCAGATGTGATCTGAGACTGAACATCTTGAACAGAACACGTGTTCCCGACCAAACAGCCAGAAGGATCTTGGAAATCAGCCTCTTTTATGGTGGTAAAGTCATCCAGAACTGTGTTTGGGAGGGAAGGATCAAGAATACTGGTGTTTGTACTATTGCTCATGCAGATATTCTGACAAGCAAAAAGGTCTTGTTGCATCAAGGGGTTGAACTGGTCAAACTTGAGGCTGTTTAACTGATGATCCCACACATCGTGAAACAACGATGTGTTCGCTGAATCAGGCAAGACCATTTGAGAGGACTCCTGTGATGTGAGCATTAATGGTGGCCTGTATGCTCCGGCAACAGACTGGAATGAAGACACTTGTGATGTCAACTCATCAGTTTCCAGGAAAGGAGACAACCCGTTGAAGGAACTCGGATCAGGCTGAGGAGCATAGATCTGTTGGCTGATTTCCGAACATGGATCAGCTTGTAAAGGAGACAAACCTGATCTCTGGTTGAGCTGGTTAACCTTTTCCTCCTCACATTCTGTGACTGAGGTTACCTGGCTTGCCTGTTCTTCCGAGGGTTCAGGTTCAAGTTTGCGTTTTCCTGAGGTACAACCGGAAGGCATCTGCGTTTCGGGTTTTCCTGGAGCACTCACAATTGGGGAGAGGTTCTGTTCTGATGCACTTGTAATAGAAGCTGATGGGTTCACAGTCAGCTTGTGTTCTGTCTGCACAATTTCTGGTTTCTTGTTCATCACAGGTTGCAGTGTCTTCAACTTTTCCAGCAAAGCTCCATTACCTATTGCATTCTGCTGCATTGCCATTGCCGACACGAAAGCTGCATTCGGGTTGTGGGTTTTCATCATCATCATCTTCATCAAATGCTCAGAACCCAAACCAGGGATAGACGTGTAAGGCAGAATCCCATCGATAGAATCAGAAACACGGATGAGAGGTCGTTTGATCAAGCTTCCCCATTCTGTTTCACCTCCTGCAAAAATTGACATTCATGGCTCAAAGTAACAGTAAGAATGTCGCTTCATCTCGTGAAAACACTCGAGGGGACACAGTACTTACTGAGAAATGATGGACGCAATGGCCGCTTGAGTCCTGAAGTCAGAGAAGGAAAAATGAAGAGACTTTCAGGTGTTTCAATGTCCCAAGCACTAACCCTAGTTGGCCTATCGTTGCATCCAGGTTCATCCCATTCGACCTGAAGGTTCCGCCACTTGGAACCAGGCCATCTCAATGGATCCAGATCGCTGATACCAACTATGGTACCCATGTACCTGAATATACAAGTCCAAAAGAGTGACTAATGAACAAATTTGCAGGTCGATGTTACAGAAGTTGGATCATTACCTTCGTTTTCCAGACTCCTCAGTTTCAAACATCATCCCGAACCTCATACCGACAGAGAGCTGAGTCCCGCATATGGCCTTTCGGTATTTAGCCAGAGGGATCACAAACTCTGAAGGGCACGCTCTGAGAACAAATGCTTGGCCATGTGAGAAGGTGGATGGATGCATTCCTAAACTCGAGATAAGGCGGAACAAACCTTGGATTGTAGAAGATGGTGAAAGGGGTTCGGTTGGAAGCTGCATGAGCTGCAGCTGCAAGAACACCAATGTGCATGCTATCCGCTGAAAGAACTGATGATGGAAGTGCTGTTTGTTGGCGATTTGCTCGCCTCACGCCAACCATCAGCTGTGACTTATCATCCCTTTTTGTCGGTTAAATAGACATAATCAGAAGCTATACAACCAAATTCCTCGGCAGAAACATTAATAGAAACTCATACAGGAAGGAAGTCTCACCTGATAAACAAGACTGAATCCCCAGCTCTGAGTCTTTTCGAACCAACAAATAAGCTCCAACCCGTTGTTAGGAGATGTCGTTTCGGCTGGCCTGTACAAGAGAGCTAAAAGATCAGTATATGAAAAGATAAGTTTTGAAGCATTCAGTCAAAAGTTCTAGACTTCACCCCGGTATATATGACGAAACGTCCATGTATTGTCATGCAAATCTCGCACTACGAGTTCTTGGGTCGGCGGCTGTGCAGTGTAGTCCTGAATGGAAAAGATTGAAAATTTATTCAATCCCTTTTCTTCTAAGATGAAAGAGACAGCAAAAAGACTAACCAGTGGAGGAAAGAGCTTCTCAGCAGCTCTGCGTGGAACCGAGAAACCTCCATGTGTGCTTGTGTCACTTGCGGTAAGGGTTTTGCAGAAGAACTCGCTTGGGTGTTTGCTGGTTCTCAGACCAAAGTCTGGTACAGGAAACACATCTCTTTCCTGTTCCAGAGTCAAAACATGTAAGAGGCAAACTCTCTTACAGAATAGGATGTTGTAGGAAATGGAGCTTACAGAGTGTACGGGTTGAAGACTCATCTGGGCATAGATCTCGTCTGTCTCTTTGTCTACCTATCAAGAAGAGCAATCATGGTTTAAGGTCAAATCCGAATCTTCTAATATGTTACACAGAACAAAGACAAGGAATGAAATGAAAGATTCGGATCTCACGTGGAGTGTAAGATTATGAACTTGGCACATCAATTGGGAAGGAAGATTTGGATAATTGGGAACTTGAGTGGTTGCTGATCTTCTGGTCGAAACGGCCACCTGAAGAACAGTCAAAGACAAACACATTCCATGAATGAATCAGAAGAACTAGATTGGGGGTGTCACCTGTTAACTCTCTTTGAATCTACTGCTTTTAACTCCAAGAACTGAAGAACATAAGAATGAATCCACAATCTTGTACACCAAATTCAACTATAACTCCAGCATGATATCTCGAACACATAGGTCAAACTTGGGGGGGGGGGGGGCTCTGATTAGCAACCATTGCTCTTTAGGACAGAAAAGAGGAATCCTTTCGCCCAAAAAAAGGAAGAAAATACCATTTCACTGACAGATCAAGCCTTTTAACACAAACCCAGGTGATCTCACAAAGGCCATAACTCTCCTTTCCAGTTCAACTAACGACACTGAGTCAACCAATTTTCGGACCAGTGTTTGATCCAAGAACAGGAACAGAAGTAGTTTTACGTGAACACAGACCTGTTCGCTGTGGCCTTGTGGGAAATAATACACCAAACTCCCAACTTGAGGAAGACATACCAAAGGGCCTGCACATGAGTGCCATAGCTCCGAATTTATTGCAGCCTTTTTTGTTCCTGTAACCACAGAATGGAAAAAGTTCTGAGCTTTTGTTGGTTAATACACCATAAAGAGCGTTTTTTTTCATGGGTTCATCACTGAACAAGAATTCTAAAGATAACCCGAATACTGAATGCACGAAATAACAAATCTTCGAAACGAATGTAGAAAGAGAACAAACCTGACTGTTGCTGCATTTCTTTCAACAGCTTCATCTCTTCAAGCAGAGTAGTCTGCTGTGTTGTCGTTCCTCCGTTAACCACGCCGTTAGTCTTGAACTTGTCTTCGAGACAAGCCATTGCTATGGAGACTCTCTCTCCTCTCTGTGGCTTTGTTAGATTCTCAACAAGACCCGGATCCCCAGTTAACAAAAGCTCTCATTTTTACCAATATTGAAACAGAGGAAGACGATATTATGTCTTTAAAAGAGACAAGAACCTATGAGCAGACAACACTTAGCATCAAAAAAACCAGATGAATTAACAAGAACCCATTCCATGGAATCTCGGTTTTCGCCCAGAAAACTCCAAATTCGAAGGACAAACGCTTACAAAAACAGAAAAGGAATGGAGAAAGAACAAACAAAAAAGGGACTACACAGAGAGACAAAGCATGTCTTCTGGTGGGGCTTTTGCCTCTGCCCCAAATCTCTCTCTCTCTCTCTTCTCTTTCTCAGACAAAGTTCGACCTTTCAATAGAGAAAATACCAAAGTGCCATAATCGACACAGGTTCTTGTTTCTGGTTGCAACAAGAACAAGGAAGAAGAGAAAAAAAAAGGCTCGGCTTTATCTCTCTGAAAAGGCCACACCTTTTTCCTCACTTTCTCTCTCTCTCTCTCTCTCGATGTGTAAGAGGTTCAGATTAATACTAACAGCTGTTAGTTGAGAGTGTGCATGCTCTTACCCTGCACGCAAACTTTCTGTATATGGCGATTCCGTCGCAGCTTTAGACCCCCAACGAAATTTTATAGTATTTATTTGTCTCAGAAATAATTTAATTGTTTTTTAATAGAAATATGCAAACGTATAAACACATCTCTCATGAATAAACATATATCTCATGAATACAATTACTTAAATGAAGTACGAGTACCAAGACATGGGATATAGCAAATAATCCACTGTAAAGATTTTTTTTTTATTTTACATGAGATAATTTTGTTGAAAATGTCTACCTTTTGTAACGACTTTGGTTGATTTAGTTCAAATTAATAAATTTACTTTATTCGTTAGTAAAATATATTATGTACTTGTTCTTATAAAAAAGAGTGGGCCTGTAAACCAGTAAACGTCCTTTAACAATATTTTAAAAAGTTATTTCAAAATTTGGTTTTTATTTATAGAAGCGAACCGAACATAGAAAAGTGAAGTGGTCTTCCGACTACTCTATCACCGATCCTCTTAAAAAATAGTATTATTTTTAGTTTACCAATAATTGAATAAAATTTTATAAACTAAAAATAATACATATTTCCCCGCCAGAGGGAGAGGAGAAGGGTGCGTAGGATAAGAGATAATGTCAAAGGCGCGTATGTTAGCACGTGGCGTGCGAGGATTTGGGAGGGATTGTTTCTTGTGGCTTTGTTGTTTAAGGATGTGGACAGATCGAATATTTAGATTTTTTTTAGATGTCTCTACGTATAAATATTCAATTTTGATATGGTATTTTTAGATATCTACAATTTTGAATATCAATAAAAACCATAATATTTGTAAATATTTGTATATGATATAAAACATGATAAAAAATAATAAATAAAATTACAAACAAACTCAAACACAATTAAATTATATAATCCATCAAATACAAACTATATTTAAAATATAAAATCATAATATAAATATCCTAAATCAATTCAAATACAAACACAATTATAATTCATCACGTACAAACATATTTAGAAACATATTTAGAGTTTAAAGTTCAAAAGATTAAACATTTTCAATGTCTAGAAATATAATTAATTATCAAAGTATTCGTATATTTAATAATATTATTAAAAAATATATGTAAGATATTTTGATATTCGTCTCTGATTGCGCTAGATTTATGGTATAAATTTAGCTATCAAATAATAAAAATCTGGAATCACAACACTGCCGCAAGAACATGAGTCGAACACAGAGAATAGTGGTACAACTAAACTAAATTCTATTAAGATTTGATCGAAGAAAATTTTGATGAGATGGTGAATTTGAGAGAAGAAATCTATATGTGCAAATACTATGGGTTTTGAGATTGTCCTTCCATCATCCATTGATAGTTTCTACATATAAAGATTCTAAAATAGGAATGTCTTGGAAAAACACAAATTTCTCTATCCAATATATTCAACCTATCGACATTATATATATAAAAAAACCTACTTTTCTATTTTGATTTCAACTCATATCATTTTCCAACTGTAACTCTGTTGACCACTAGTCATATGTTGATCATAATAATCATAACGTTAAATTTATAATGTTTTTTATCAAATTATTAGTGACATATGTAAGGGATGAATATAATTAATTAGCGTGATCATCATCAGGGCCGTCTCAAAGTTAGAGGAGACCCTGTTCAATATATGTAAAGGAGATATATATATATATATATATATTTATAAATTAAAATTAACTTATTTTATAATTTTTTTATTGAAATACTCTTATATACTAATAAGAAAAATTAAAATTAACTTTGTTTATAATTTTTTTGATTGAAATATTCTTATATACTAATTTGTTTAACGTTTTTCTAAAATATATATTGATTAAAAATTATTTATATTTGTTATCAAATTATATTTTTATTTTGTTTCAAATTTTTAAAAAAATTTAAGATTACTATAAAATAAAATAAATCTACCGTAATTTAATCAGATTTTAATTTTTTTATATTTTTTTTATAATGAATTTTATCTTTTTATTTAAAACCCATATAATTATCAAATTTTAAAAATAATTTTTTTTGAAAAAATGAGGCCCTAGAAAATTGGGGACCCTGTGCCATGGCACCACTTGCACACCCTATTAGACGATCCTGATCATCATAAACTTAACGTTATGATTAATATAACTAACATGTGACCAAACTATAATTCTGGTCATAAGGTCACAGTTGGAGAAGAGAATGTTTTGAAGTAAAAAAAGCAAAGAGAAAATATTTTTTATAATGGCCCCAACCTATCATCTCTTGAATCTCTATGTGTATAACTAATCATCAAATTATTCGTACATTAATTTCTAAACACCTAAATCTAAATCTGTATTCACCATTAGTTGCATATGCTTTACGAGACTTCATTAAGTTTGTTTTCTTTTATCAGAAAAATATCACAGCTATTTTATTAAAAGAATATCGTTTTAGATTTTTTCATCATTATTAAAGAAATAAAAAAAAATCATATATACCCTTATTAAATCACATTCTCATTATTTTTTTATTGAAGTTAATTTTTTTAATTAAGAGAAGAATTATAAATTTTCTTATAAAATCACCTAGAAAATCTAAAACGACATCTAATTAGTAAAAAAAATATTTTATACATCTATTCAGAAACGGAAGGAGTATTTGTTTATAGAATTCTATACCCTGATGATATTTATTGTCTAATTAATAACTAAGTTCATATTGATTAATGTATTTTTTTTGTAAATGATTAATGTATTTGTTATAAATATTATATTCATTCATGCGGCTAAAAAATCCTCTATGGCAACTTTTTTTTGGTTAAATGTGAAATATATTTACCAAAATGAATGTTATTTACAACCCACTTAAACCACTCGTAAACAAAAGATACAGGAAACCCATGCGTAGTTAAAGCTGGGCACATATCTGAAAATTGGGTATCCGTTGGATACTCATATCGCGGATACTCGATTTTAGGCTACTTTTACCTATTCAAATTCAAATCCAAATACATATTTTTCAATATCCATAAATCTGAATCCAAATCCAGATAATAGAATTTTTAAAAACGGATACATTATATATCCAACTAGTATAGTTATAAATAATTATATCTTATATCTATATAATATTTTTATAAAATATAATGATTTTAGATTAAATAATTTTACATTTTTTAATATTATCTCAAAAAAATAAATTTATTATTATCTATCTCTTTTTATCTCATATTTTTATCATAATTCATCCACTTTTATAAATATATCTTTATTTTTTGAAAATTTTATATATAAATATTGTTATTTTTTCTTAAACAAATCTGGATTCGGATACCTACGAGTACTCGAATATTATTCCGATTATCCATAGTCCGGATACTCTAATCCCAAATCTTGGATACAAATCTTATAGGTAAATACCCGAGTCTTCCGGATCCAAATCTAAATATCCCGATTTTCCGGATATTTGATCCGTGTCCACCCCTAACGTAAGTGGTACAATTCATAAAATCGTAAAAAAATCAGCTCCTTAGCTATAGCATAAGGTAGAACCTATCTTTAAGATTCGATGTAAATTTCACATGTCTAGAGGTGGACGTTTCGATATTCGGTTCAGAAATAATTCGGTTCAATTCTTTTAGTTTTATAAAAGTATGCATCAATAGTTCATTATACTTCGGGTTGGTTCCGATTTTTATTAAAAAAATAGATATTTTTAAAAAAAATAGATTTTTCGGATTTCTTAAAATTCGGTTCGATTCTGGTAAATTTGGGTTTCTAATAAAAATATTGTTCACGAATTTTGAACAATTCGATTCATAAAAAATACCGTATTTTTTAATTCGGTATGATTCGTTTCGGTCCTGAAAAATCATATCGAAATGTCCACCCCTAGGCCTGAGTCATTGGTAGGCCACAAGTATGTTCCTCACAATACGATCAAGCTCTTTTTGCAAAGTGATAGTTTGTTTAGGAGTGGGCATTTCAGAATTTTAGTAATTCGGTTTGGAAACGGTTTATTTGATATTCTAAAATTTGTACTGAATTAGCACCACATATTATTCGGTTTGATTCGGTACGATTCAGTTTCGTTTTTTGTTAAAAAAATTTAGAATTTCTTAAAAAAATTAATTTTTCAAGAATTTTATAAAGTTTGGTTCGATTCGATTTCGAAAAATTTGGTTCTATAAAAAATATACGGTTCAAAATTTTTGAATGATACAGTTCAAAAAAAATACTGAGATTTCCGGTTCGATACGAAAACGAACCGAAACGTCCACCCTAGATTTGTTACTTGCCCCAAATATTCTGGCATTGCGTCCCTTCAAGATTAAATAAGTAGCAACCTGAACACTGATTTTAGTTATAATGGTGCGATTCCTGCT